CATTTATTCATCTCGAGACCTACAAAAGGTACAGGGTTGAAACTGGGAGCTTAATCTACATGCATTTACGGGCCCCCATCCCCAAAATGAGCGGTCTTACCCGCGTGGTAGCCAAGTACGGGGCCATGAAAGTTTTTTGCGAGTAAGTCGCCAACTCGCGAACCAGAAAAGCTAGAAAGCTGACATTTCAAGGGGATATCCCCCGTCCACGTAAGTCTAGATGAGCTCAAGCCAGCCCCCGGGTAAGCGTGGCACCCGCACACGGGTCCGCCAAAGTTTTTTTCGAGTAAGCCGATAGCTCGGGAATTTAAAAAGCTGAAGGACTGCAATTTTAAGAAGATATTCCCCGTCCACCTAAGTCTCATTCAGCTCAAACCCAGCCCTTAGGTGTACGTGGTACCCACGCACGGGCTCAACAAAGTCTTTCTCTGATAGGTTGCTAACTCGAGAACCTGAAAAGCTAGAATACCGTAGTTTTGAGAGGATGTCCCCCGTCCACGTAAATCTCACCAAGCTCAAACCCAGACATCAGGTTTGCGTGGTACCCACGTACGGGCCCGTGAAAATTTTTTCCCAGTAACTTGCTAACTCAGGAGCCAGGAAAGCTAGAAAGTTGAAATTTTAAGGGGGTTTTTCCTGACGGTTCTGGCGGCCAGTCTTAATTTGTTTAGCTAAAAGCATTTGCCGGAAAAACTGGTGCCGGTAGCGACAAAAACTACGGGGAACTATGCAAAAAACGCATCTTCGCACGGGCATCCCGTGCGTTAGCCAATTGTTTGCTTTGACTGACAAAAAACATTTTGCCTAATTTTGAGTAGTGCATAAAATTTCTTGCATTGATTTTGGCCGATGATAAAATGGATAAATGCAAAGTATCAATAAATCATGTTGGTTTTTCGCAGGTGCTATATACTACATCTAAGTCACGGCAGTTCTTTGCTGGCTAATAGACTTTTTCATTTTTATGCGTTTTTTGCAGCTATGCAATGCAGGAAACGCATATTGACGAGAGGTTGTCTGTGTGTGTGTGTCTGTGTGCACACTGGGCCCCCGTACGGATTTTTCATCTCGAGACCTAAAAAAGCTACAGGGCTGAAACTTTGGGAACCTAATCTACATGCATGTACGGACCCCCATTCCCAAAATGGGCGGTCTTACCCGCGTGGTACCCACGTGCGGGCCCGTGAAAGTTTTTGCGGGTAGGTCGCTAACTTGCGAACTAGAAAAGCTAGAAAGCTGAAATTTTGAGGAGGCCTTCCCCATCCACGTTTGTCTCACTGAGCTCAAATCCGACCCTCGCGTATGCGTGGTACCCATGTACGGGCGCGCCAAAGTTTTTTTCTCGTAAGTTGCTAACTTAGGAAGCTAAAAAGTTAGAAGTCTGTTTTTTTAAGGGAATATTTCCTCTCCATCAACGCACGGACCCGTCAAGATTTTTCTCGAGTAAGTTGCTAACTCGAGGATTTGGAAAGCTAGAAGACTGTAATTTTAAGAGGATATTCCCCGTCCACGTAAGTTTCATTGAGCTCTCAGATTCCGGGTATGCGTGGTACCTACGTATGGGCTCGCCAAAGTTTTTTTCAGATAAGCTGCTAACTCGGGAAACTGAAACGTTAGAAGGCTGTAATTTTAAGGGGATGCTTCCTGTCCACGTATGTCTCAGTGAGCTCAGATCCAAACACCGGAAATGCGTGGTACCCATGTACGGGCCTGTAAAAGTTTTTTTCGGGTCAGTTGCTAACTCGGGAACCTGAGAAGCTAGAGGGTTGGAAATTTAAGGGGATGTTCCCCATCCAAGTGGGTACTAATGAGCCCAAACCCAGCCCCCGGGTATGCGTGGTACCCACGTAAGGACTCGTGGAATTTTTTTTTGCGGGTAAGTTGTTAGCTCGGAAGTCAGAAATGCTAGAAAGCTGAAATTTTAAGGAGGTGTTTTCTGACAGTTCTAGCGGCCAGTCTTAATTTGTTTAGCTAAAAGCATTTGCTAGAAAAACCGGTGCCGGTAGCGACAGAAACTGCCGGGAACTATGCAAAAAACGCATCTTCGCATGGTCAGCCCGTGCGTTGGGCAATTACTTTTTTTCTCGACTCAAAAAGTGATTATTTTGACGTGTTGCCGTGTTAGCTGGCAAGTGTGTGTGTGTTTTGAGAAGTATTGTCGGGGGGATGGTGTGCAGAATGTGGTTTTGCTTACGCCTTAATCCATATACGTGCCTCTCTTTTTATCTCACGTATTTGTTTGCTACCTCAAACACTTTGTGATTATTGCTCGCAGAAGGGTTGTTTTGCATAATAATCATTTAGTGAGTTTAGCGGAGCCAGGTTCTGATTTTACAGTTTTTTTTTCTTTTTTTTTTTTTTT